ATTCCTGTGTTGTTTGCCTATATTCATCCTTTGTAATGTGTCCTAGTTCCATTTTTTATATGACTCCTTTTTATTTTTTAGATCATACAAGATCTCGTGGTTAAGCCAAGGTGGTCTTTTGCAACAGTCCTTCTCTCTGGTCACACACTCACAGGGGTTAATCGCCCCCCTGAACCGTCTCTCTCTGACTCTTCAGCCCACCTGGTCCCCCTCGATCCCCCTTTGTTTTACTGCTCCCCAGTCACTTACTGCAGGAGGCGCCGTCCACGGGGTGCAGTAGATCCCACCGCTGCCACCAGTTGTCACGGAGTGTGGGGGGACACAAGGCCCTTCACCCCCAGCTTCCTGCGATTCACTATGACTCTCAGACAGCCGTAAAGCAGAAGGTTTATTTAGATGACAGGAATACAGTCCAAGACAGGACTTGCAGGCACAGACAACAGGACCCCCTCAGTTAGGTCCATCTTGGGGTCCCAGGGCACCACAGCCCCCTTGGGAGGTCAGAGCCCCGTCTGCCTCCCAGCCATGTCACCAGCCAGCTCTGAACTCTCTCTCTAGCCTTTGTTCAGTTTCCCGGGCAAAGGTGTCACCTGGCCTCTAACCCCTTCCTGGGTTCTCATGTTACATGCTCAGGTATCCTCTCTCAGCCAGTCTCCCCTCCCCTCCCCCAATGCAGACCATCCTAGCCACACTCCCCTGTCAGCATTCAAAGACCACAGTAAGAACAGTCCCAGTTCGTCACAGGAAGGGTTCAGAAAAGAGCTCCAGGGATGACTCAAGGGCTGGAAAAGCTGCTTTGTAGTGAACGAGTCAAGAGGAATCTAATCCATTATCTACTTAGAGGCTATAATCAACCTCCAGTCTCCGGCGTTTCCCACTCCGAACACAAACATGCTTTGGTCTTTTCCTATTGACAAATACCAACTTGCCTAGTTCCTGGTCTCCCTTCAGTCTTTAATCTCATCAAACGCACTGTCTACAATCGCTGTCTGGAGCTCCTTTCTTCCAGGTCCATCTGAGACCATCTCCAACTCAGCTCCCATCTTGACATTCAACTGAAATAAAAAATAAAAATAAAGCCAATCGGCGGCAGCTCAATCGTGCTGCTTCATTCTTCGGCCGCCACCGAATTGCCGCAGAAGACCCAGACGCGCCGCCCTTTCCATTGGCTGCCCCAAGCATCTGCTTCCTGCACTGGTGCCTGGAGCCGGCCCTGCCTTCGACATCATCAGATACGCTCTTCTGCTCTAATGGGTCACACATTGGATGGGAGCCAGCCGACGGTACGATACAGAAGTGACACAGGTTGGGCTGTATTAACAGGAGCGTCACGCATACGACATGGAAGAGAATGGTTCTGCTCTACCCAGCACTGCGGAGGCCTCTGCTGCAGGACTGTGTCCAGGGTTGGGTGCCGCATCTTAGGAAAGATGTGCACAAACTGGAGGGAGTCCAGAGAGCAACACAAATGATGAAAGGTTTGGAAAACCTGCCCTGTGAGGAAAGGTTAAACACCTGGGCATGTTTAGTCTCGAGTAAAGATGACTGAGGGGGGACCTGAAAATGGCCTTCAGGGCTGTTCAGGGCTGTTACAAAGAGGCTTTGATCAATTGTTCTCCATCTCCACTGAAGGTAGGACGAGAAGTAATGGGCTTAACCTGCAGCAAGGGAGATGGAGGTCAGGTATTAGGAAAAACTTCTTAATTCTCTGGGTAGTTAAACTCTGGAACAGGCTGTGTGTGGAACCCCCGTCACTGGAGGGTTTTAAGAAGAGGTTGGACAGACCCTAGTGTTCCTTGGTGCTGCCTCAGCGCAGGGTGATGGACCAGGTGGTCTCTCAAGGTTCCTTCCAGCCCGACATTTCTAAGATTTTACAAAAATCTTGTCCTCCCCTGGGATCTGTCCTCTCCTGGTTCTCCTCCAACCTCTCCGATCGCTCCTTCAGCATGTCCTTTGGAGGGTCCTACTCAACCTCCCTCCAGCTTTGTGGGGGGAGGGAGGGGAAGGTTTCCAATGGACTCTGGCCTTGATCCCCTTCTCATTTTGATTTGGAGATGCTGCCATGATGCCTCATGGGA